ACAAAAACCAGCAGTAAAATTTGACAAGCTTATATTTATTAGGAAGTGGGTATGGTTTTTTCTAATTATTCAAACATTTAAAGAGATGTTGATTCGCATACATCGGAATTTGTGAGAATATTGTTATCAGATGTAAATTGGATAGATGAGAACCATGAACACAAAGATGTTAAATTGAATAACTAATGTAAGCAATTGAAAAGAAAGGCATTTCCTTTATACAAGGAAATGCCTTTCTTTTCAATTGAAAAAAAATCTGTTTTATCTGTATCTTATCTTTTATCAAAAAACATGGGGATGTGAATTTAGACAGATATTAAGATGAGATAATTAATGAATCATGAATCATGAATCATGGAAAGCATTCCCATCTTATACAAAATTTTTTTTAATTTTCGCGACTTTCGCGACAGTTCCTTTCATAGTTGTTTTTCTTGTATTGAGAATATACACTGCAGCAGCGTATGCAAATTTAGATGCATCAGTAAATACGTGAATCTCCAATTGATTTGCAGGTTTTATTACGAATCTCGGTAAGTCAATCATATTAGACATCCATTTTCTTATCATCTTGTACCATTGCTGTTCATCTTCTTGGGTTAAGAGTTGATCCCAAGCTCTGTTCTGCCTCCATAAATACTGGAGAAATAATTTGAATGAAATCATCGATGGTGTCAGAAACCTTAATGGGTCATATTGTGAAGCGACGAATTAATTGTAAAATAGTTCTCTTAGTAATTTGTTTTCCGGTCCATGGTTTTAGTGTTATATGAATGACATCTAAATCATGGATCCAATTGATTTCAAGAAAATTGTTTTTTATAGCCGTTGGTTTATCATAGTCTGCTATTCTTTTATTAATTTTTCTTCATCGTTAGAAAGAATTCTTTTTTCATCGTTAGAAATTCTTTCCTTCATCGTTAGAAAGAAATTCTTCATCGTTAGAAAGAAATTCTCTTACATTTATTGCCGCTTCACTGAAGATAATTTTTGTTTTCTCATATTTTATTAGTGCTTCTTCAATTACTTGCAGATAATGTGATATTGTCCACGTAGATATTTTTCCTTATCTCGGTGGCTGTTTTATTACCATAAATTTCCAGATGATAGTTTATTGTAGCCGATAATAAAAAGGGTGATGAGATGACTCCGAAGGGAACTCTTTTAAATCTATAACATTTTATGTTCTCTTCAGTGACATCTTTGGTAATATCTTGTAACCAAAGAAATCTAGTAGAATCTCTTGTAAAAATGCCTTTTCAATATCGGTAATTATTACTATTTCCATCATTCGAAATCTTAGTAGTACTCCGACTAAATCCGGTAGCAATACTGGGCCTCTATATAAGACTTCGTTCAAACTTTTCTTTCCATGAAGGTGTGCTAAAGCATCATACACTATTCTTAGTTTCGTAATATTTTTGTTAGGAGTTAATACTCCATGATGTGGTAAGTAGTGTATGACGCCCATCATTTTATTGGTGTCTGCGTCCTCGATTACATCCAGTTGTTTCTGTTCTTCGATTATATTATTATATAGGCTAAGTTTAATTCTTGTTGCAATCGCTTGACCAAATTTTTTAGACGTCCCAAGCATAATCCAAAGTTGTTACTCAACTTATCCTTCGATTCTTTCTATGGCCATCTTACTTGATATCTGATATTATATTTCGTTATAGATTTCTTAAATTGCTTCAGTGCCTCTTCATCGTCATCGGCATTAAGTCCTTCTTGTATTCCAATGACTTCTAGTTTTCAGAAATTTTCTATTTCTGATCCTATGGTTAAAGTGGATATTGTGTTGGGAATACGTGTCGTACTTTTTTTGTACAATTGGTTTATATCGCCACTTCCCGCAATCATTGGTCCAACCTTTGTGTGAAGTAGTGAGAATCCTGATTTTAGTTTTTCAATTCTTTCCAATTCCACAAATTTGAAAAAATGATCTGCTCCGATTAAGATGTCAGGTCGTTTCC